ATCAATTAAAATATACTTATTCTCTCAAATTATATTCATTGCTCTGCTTATGTTAAATATAATTAATAATTTAATGCATTAAATTTTCTTTTTCTTGTAGAAATTTACATTCTAATTCTTGGATTGCATAATCACCATACATTTGCATAAGAGCACCTTCTTCCAAATGACTTCAAACCAAGGTTTGAAATAAACATAAATATATATTATTATTGTTTTGTGTATATGTGTTTATTAATAGTATATTTCATTATTTTTTTAACAGATGAACACATTCTAATCCATAAGAGTAGAAAAACCAAATACAATCAGTTGAATGTAGATCAGAAGAGAACTTACATTCAGAAAGTGATTGATAATAATAGAAGGAGGAAAAGGAATGTTTTTGCTGGTAGTAGTACCAATAGCAAGCGACAACGTAAGATTGATTTGTTTCGTGGAGCGCAACAGCGGGAATATGAGCATGGAGGTTTGCGTTGAATAATTTTATAATTTATTAAAATAATTACACGATTTTATAGATCTAAATTTATTTAATACTAAAAACTAATATTTTCTTTCTAGGGCAAATTAACCATGAACCAGTATGTTCTTTGTTACATAAACTATGCACTCCAAAGTCTTGTTCATTTTGTGGAGCAAAAAAGTTTGAACACGAGCCACCAACATCCTGTTGTCACAACGGTGAAATCCACCTAGCAGATGTGAATGTTAAGGACGAGTTATATGCCCTTTATACAGTACAAACCCAAGAGGCAATTGAGTTTCGAAGACAAAGCAGAAAGTATAATAGTATTTTCTCATTCACTATATTGTTCTATTATTGCCACATCCATTATAAGTATATCCTTCTGTTAATGCATCTCATGACTTAATACTATGTTCTCTTTCAGATTTCTAGATTGAACTAAAATGCAAGGCTACCTTCAGTTCAGCCATATGTTTATGGCTTATCATTTTTAAGATCAATTTCGGCATTTGATGATATGAGCGGCACTTATTCCATACTATATATCTATTACCTATTACTATTATTAAAGATTAAAGATATGCCCTATTTCGGTATTCTATCCCTATGAAAGTCTTGAATTCAAATAATTCCATGAAATGTCCACATAATTTACACATAGATAAGGGTCATGAAAAGGTATGTCCTATGTCCTGCTTAACTACTCCTATTAAATGCCTCTGTAACCGTAACTCAATGTTTGATTTATCATCATGTTTCTTTAAAGAACAAATGTCAAATTCAGGTATATCAACATCAACAATGCACATGGAAACAAGCCATATAGATCTCGATGATTTGAAGGTATGTATGTTATTGATGAGTTTGTCAAGTTGAATTCAAACATGTTTATTCTAACTGTTTCATTCATGTTTTGCAATGTCTCTAGGTTTAATGTACACCTAATCTAACTTGTTGTCATTGTGTTTATATTGTTGCAGGTTGGCTTGTTGTATGATGAGGTAGCATTACAAAATGTTCTAAACATGACTGCTGACGGGACAAAAGAAGAAAGGGAGATGTGGAGGAGAAAGGTTTAAAGTTTTATTTAAACATATTTCTTGAGATTGCACACAGCTTACTACTGTCTGATTTATGTGGGCGCCTTTATATTTGAAATATTTGTGCTATACACGTTGAATGTCTTCAGTTATTGAGAAATTGATCATTAGAGTCTCAACGGGTACCAATGATTGGCTTAAAGACGCCATTTTGGGATGGCTTGTTAAGATATGTTGCTGAAGATGTTCCAAAGCTAGCTAAGGTTGATCAACTGACATTTCCAATTGCTTACTATTTGCCCATAATTAAATTTCAAAGTGTGACTTTTAAATGTTTTATACTATTTTTTAGGATTGCTTGGAAAGAAGAAGTTACAAAGAAGCTGGATTTCTGAGAGAAGTGGCTGAGGTGGTTAATTAAGGTAAGGACAGTTACCAATTTTGTTGTCTGGATGACTTAAATGTGATTTTTATGAGTCAATGGGTGCTGAAAAGATCATATGCGCTATTGTCACCTGTGTCTTTGCTACAGGTTTGTGATTTGTCTCAATTTTTGAGTTGTCTCAATTTTTGAGTTGGGTCCCAATTAATTTGTGTCTTAATTTAGTTTTTCTGATCAATGGAATTCGAACTATTCTGGTATATGGAGCATTCTCTATGTGGTAATTTCAAACATAAACCCAATTCATTTTTCCAAAGAATACATTTTATGATATTTGTATTCATTTTATGCAATTGATTGCTTGCAAATTGTCATCCTCGCTAACCTTTTTCCCTTTGGAATTCGAACTATTCTGGTATATGGAACATTCTCTATGTGGTAATTTCAAACATAAACCCAATTAATTTTTCCAAATAATACATTTTATGATATTTGTATTCATTTTATGCAATTGATTGCTTGCAAATTGACATCCTCACTAACCTTTTGAGTGGAAGGCTTGTCAGAGAGAAGGTTGGCCCTGCGGTTCAGAGCGCAGTGCAGAGTCAGGTATATTTTAACATTTACTGGGTAATGAAACATGCATCATAGTATAAGACTCGTGTTTTTTCTGGGGATATTGTTCATTGTAGATGAGTGCTGTTGATGCTCCCTTCATTGAGGTTCTTGATATTTTTGAGACCGGCGGCACTGGAGGCATGTCGAAGGATTCCGTTAATAAGCTTGAAAAGAGTAAGATTTCGAAGCAGAACAATGGTGATGACTTTGGAGAGAAAATTTGCTATTGGAAATAGTATTTTTTTTTTCTGTATTATTTGAAGAATGCATAGCTGTTAGATGGTGGCTCTGCATGAGTGGTTGTATTGGCGTTCTTTAATCCCTAAGATTGTCTTCTTGTTGGCAGGGAGTGCTCTTGGTATAGTTGTGAATGTATTCCTCTGAAAAAATAGATTGCCAATGTTTTATGATTTATTGATTAAATGTGTTTGCTTTCAGCAGGGTGCTCATCTCAAAACGCCTTATTTTATGAAACGTGATAACAATGAACTTATTTGCATTTCTTGTTTGGTTATGTTCATCGTCTAAAACCTACTATAATACTTCTACAGACATTTGTTTAAAACCTACAAGGGTTTCTACTTTCAGGATTATTAAGAGTTCATGTTTGTTTTCCTCCTTCAATTATGTCGATTTTTTTACTGAAGCAATTTCAGAAAATGATCATTTGCTAGCAATTTAAAAAAAAATTGATGCTACTATTTTAGTAACATTTATTTATATTGGATGATTATGATTAAATAGGTTGTCTGATGTCAACTATATATAGGTAGCATTGGTTGATTGAAAATCAATAATGTATATCAAATAAAATTCTTTTATAAAATTATTCATTGTTTTCTATTGGTAAGTATGTAAACAATCTATTATCATCAAGTTCATACATAATGTAATTTCATTATTCAATCTTTTTTAATTTTTAAATTCTATCCATATGTTTGAAACATGGATTAAATTAAATAAATCATAATGAAATGAATCAATAATAAATTTAAAAATTTACCACGTGCATTGCACGTGCAATCCAACTAATAATTAACAAAAAAGAAAGTACTGTAAATGTTATGATCTATGGAAGAGCTATGTTGTGCGATGGTGACGATCAGAGGACCGTGTGAAGTGGTGGATGGACCGTAGGGGTGAGCAAAATTCGGTTGAAACCGAATAAACCGACCAACCCGACCAACCGAACTTCACAAAATGCGGTTTTGATGTGTAATCAGTTCGGGTCGGGTTCCAGCAACTCCAACCCGTATTAACCAACCCCACCGAACTTCAAATCCTAGTTCACAAATATCCGCTACCCGTAACCCATTCCCTTCACCCGACTGTATAAAATCCCTCATCCTCTCAACTCCTAAGCCCTAACTCTCTCCGAAATCAACCAGCAAGCTGCAGCCGCCGACAATCCAACGAATCCTTGCCCTCTCCAGTCTCCACCCCCCACCGGAGAGCCGCCGACAATCCAACGAATCCTTGCCCTCTCCAGTCTCCACCCCCCACCGGAGAGCGCCAACCGATCCCCGCCGTCGCCTCCGACCCAGTGATCCCTGTCCAGCTCGAGGCCGTCGCTCGACGTCCCTGTCCAGGCGCCGAGGGCGCGTTCCCTGTCCAGCTCGACGCCATCGCTCGTCGTCGTTGCTCGAGGACGCCGACGCTGAGATCTCGTCGCCTCTCGTCGAGTCAAGAAACTATTTAAAGACTCACCCGATTCATTCCACACGTCTTCCTCACTTTTTTTTTGTTGGTGTTTCTTGATTGCAGATATGGATTCGGGCAACGTAAATGAATCGGGTGAGTTCTCTGTTTGTATCTTGATATTTTCTATTTTAAAAAAAATCAAGTGTTTCTTGGAGTTTACTGGTGTTTTTGCAGATTTTTTTTTGTTGATTTTAGCGATTTTCTTGAGTTGTAGACCATATGGATGAAGCAGAGGAAGGAGGAGACGTGTGGAATTGGGATATGAACAAGAAATTTGAGAATGCTTTTGCTACTTACTGCAACGGAATCAGTGATCATTGGGATAGGATTGCAAAGGAGCTTGGAGTAGATGTTGAGGATGTTAAGAAGCACTATCGACTTCTTGTGGAAGATATTGATGCGATTGAAGATGATCGAGTGCCTTTGCCGAGCTATTTAGATGACGAGGTGGCTGAAGCTGGTGCCCATGGTAAGAAGGGCGGAGACGGGAAGTTTGCCGAGCTATTTAGATGACGAGGTGGCTGAAGCTGGTGCCCATGGTAAGAAGGGCGGAGACGGGAAGGGAAGGGCTGAGCAAGAGCGACGCAAAGGAATTGCTTGGACTGAGGAAGAGCATAGGTAAAACTCATCCTGGTGTTAATTTTCTTTGATTTATACATTTATCAGCCAAAGAAGATGTTGTTTGTATAGCGTCTGATTTTAAGTTTTGCGTATTCAAATTAAATTTAGGGCATATTACAAGAAACCCCCTATGAAAAGCCCTCTCACCTATACGACCCAAATGAATTCCTAGATGTGTACATTTGCAATATAAGTTTTCTCATGAATTTAGGAGATGATAGAAGTTATCAAATAAAAACAACAAGATAGTTGTTCTTGAATTTGGATTTAATCTTTTGCCCTCATAAATTTACTCTAAAACTATTTAAAAACCAATAATTTAATTACTACTATAGATTAGGGGGTTTTTATTGTTGAATTTAACAGACGAGGGTTTTTCTTGAAAAATAGGGTACAAATGAAGATAGTTTCTTGGAACTTACCCTTATATTTATATGAAAATGCGAAGGGATATCTTTTTATAATCTTGATAGTAGTTATATGGACTAACGGGAAAATGTCAAGGGGTACTTTTGATATTCTTGATAGTAGTATAAGGCTTAACACAAGTTCACATTGTATTCAGCAATAATCGAACAAATGTTTCTTTGTAATACAAGTAATTGTATTTACTTTTCTTTTGGATAGTGATCTCTTTTTGTCTCAACTACTAGACGAGGCTCAATCTAGACCATCTCAGGACTGAGCTAGTGTGGAGTTTACATCCAGCAATTTTCTCTATTTCTTCCTTTAACTAACTGAAAATTCGTGCCTTGCTTCTTTTACTTCTCTTTATATATGTATACTACTAATTCAATGAAATGGTATTATAACGTCAACTGTCTTATGTTTATACAAGCAGGACATCTCTTCTTAGTAGTTGGTGTATATTGGATTATAATAATTTTCTTGAATTTATAATATGATTGAGTGTTTAATGTAGTTTGATGACCAACAGTTAAACCGATAGGTGTGAGGTCTTGCATTTCATGTTATCCCAAGGTGCTATTGGGCATATAATATGTGAAGTTTAATAAGTTTGGAAAAGGATTACTTCTGTCAGATCAACAATCATGATAGCTTCTGCAAACATTTGGGTATATGATTGAAATCAAACACTACACATCTCTGATAATATTCTTTTCTGATCCACATTTCTACCTTCGTTCACATGTGAAGAATCCATAATTCAAATATCATCCGTATCTCTTTGTCATCAAAAGTTATAATCTATGATTATGCACCACTTGGTCAATCCTACAAAATTCACTGCCTTCTTCTATCTATCAGTCAAACTTGTTTTTTTAATTTCATCAAAAAGTTTCATGTGACAACTGTGAATTAGTATCATGATGTCTTATTAGTAACTTGAGTTATCTTTCCACTTTGTCTAGCATTGTTATTCCTATTCTAATTCTAATTCTAGCATACATGGCTATTTAAAATTTTCACAGGACATCACACTGGAGATTCCTCACTTTCATATTTCTTTGTCGTTCTCCTATTTGTTACCTCTGATTTCCTGATGGAGCATACCATCTTTTTAATTTCTTATTTTGCCTTTGGACATCAATATCCAGCTTTTTAAGGGTGAACAACATATAGTTACATGCAGAGTCTAAGTTAATGCATGGATTTCTTAATTTTGGGCTTTTAGACCAAGACGTGTTGCCTTTGGCAGGAGGAAGAGAGTGTCTCATTTTCTTCTAAAAGCATTGCTTTTAAGGTATTCTATGAGACCCTGATAAGTAATGTACGAATGTGGTTTAACATCGCATGAAATTATAGATACCAGAACCTGTAATAAGATCACTGCATCTGTCCTTACAATGCATATATTCGAGGAGCCAAAAATTGTAAAGTTTCGATCGGTTACCCAATTTCCTTAGGTTACAGTGGTATTGCCTATGGTACGAGCCAAAAATTGTAAAGTTTCGATCGGTTACCCAATTTCCTTAGGTTACAGTGGTATTGCCTATGGTACCTTACAGGATTCCTGATTGCGTATTTTTATAGTTGTTGCCTCTGAATTATTTAGTAACATCCCACAATTCTTAGGCTTTATCTTGCCAGTGAGTTGACATGTAGGAAATATTTGTCTTCTCTTGTGAATGATCATTTGAAAATATAAATAACTTTCACATACTTAAAAGAATGGACGAAAGAAGTATGTAAACGTGATAGTCATATTTCATAATATATAGAGGGAGCTTAGTCTTTTCTATGAACTCAAGGTTAACCTGATGCACATGCATTGTTTGAACTGAAGTCTTCTATGTAACAATAGACTGGTTGTTCCTGTCTAACATCCTTCGTTAATTCTCTTGTTTCCTTAACATTATGGGTTGGAGTTCAAAACTCCTGTTAATATATTATTGAATGTTTCCCTGGCCTTGGGTATCAGTATCCAATTTTGCCAATGTGATGAGTTCTTACATTATCAATCCAGTTTGGTAAATAGACTTGTAGACATGGTTCTTTTGTGCCCAAAAATGGTGCTATAGAATTTGAAAACCTTCATTTTCCTATTTAATGTCCCCCTTTTGGTGCTTGAATTGTATGCTTTTTAGTTTGAATAATCATCCAATTCTTCTGTAGCTTGTTTAGTTAGAGCTGTGAAGGGCGAGGGCTTATGTCGAGGACACACCGAATATGAATTATAGAGTACATTATGTAAGCTCTAAGCTTATGGTTTCCAGTTCAAACTGTTTTCTCAAAGGATCTTTGACTGATATATTTATAGCTTTCAGGAAATACAGTCTTTGCATTAACACTTCTTCTTCCTCACCTTGCATCATCTATGAGACTGAATTCTGACTTGAAGAAGATACATCTCAGGAAATTCATATATATACACATACACACATCCATTCACATACATACATAGAACATAGGTACATGAACATACACATGCATATGTGATATGTCCATTGAGTTTATGGACACACGTGTATCACATACACATGCATGCACGGCAAACCCATATATACATACACACAACACATCTGTACTTATGCAAACATACACATTGCATATGCATGCACATGCATAATTAAATAGTAAATACAAGTACATACTTAGATATATAGATACATGTACACACAAGAAAAGGCATACAAACATTCACAACAAACATACATGTGATGAAGAACAATAGATTTTGTTGCTTCAGGAGAGGTTATATATTATATATTTTTCTCTAAGAGTGAATTCAAGGGCCGTTTGGTCATTGCTTCATGTTTAAATGCCCTTGTGCCGTGCGATAAGAGTCCTATGGCTGGTCTAGTGAATGCTTTTTCTTGTGAGAACATCTGTAACTTGTCAAGAGACAATTAGCTGAGAAAATCGTACAAGAGTGGTTATGGAAGTGATAATTGCGTTTTTGGTATATTTTTTATGCTAGATAACAAAACATGGAGGTATGACCGTGCTTAGTAGTTAGCACAGGCTACAATAGTAGCGGTGATGATATAAAAGGCGGGGGTGGGTGGGTCATATGGAGGACCTCTATAGAAAATTATATATTTGTTGTTACACTAATATCTTTATAAAATTACAAAAAATAGTTCGTTCTGCCTGTACATTTTCCTGGGAATCTACTTAATTTTAATCATTTAACCAGTAAAACATACAATGCAACTTTTTGTCGAATTTTCAATTTCTTCAGAGACAACTTGTCGAGTAACCCCGTTGAGCCATATCTAGCAAGTCTTTGAATTTTGATTACTGATCACTGTGAATCTGCTGGATCTGGTTACTCCAAAATATATTTTGCTCTGTCCAACAAATGAATCTGTTGAGGGCTTATGTTCTTTCTTTGCTTCAATTTATCCTTGCTTTCTTTTTTTGGGAATCCTTTAATAAAAGCTACAGTTTCTGAGCTAGTAAATGAGTTCATATCCTTTAACCTATGTCACTTGATGTGGCCTGCCGCATGAAATAGATGTTTGCACTAGTTCAAGGAATATCCATAATGACCTAGTTGATGGGCCAATAAGTTGAAGGCTTACTTTGAACAGCCAAATTCCAAACGTCAGTCAATAGATATTTGCAGAATTTGATTTGGATAGTTATGTTGTAATAGAAGTTTTACCCAATGTTCCTTTTAGACATCTTACAATTAAGATCTAAATGTCCCTTTTGATGGCTGAAATGATTTCTAACTTTTACTGAAAAGGGCCATTGTAAGTTCACAAATAGGTTACGAGACTTAACATCAGAGATTCAACTTTCTGTACTTCCAGTATTTTTATATGAGTATGGGCTTGCTCCATCGGATAAGTCCACAACCCTCTCTGATGCATAAATAATTACCTTGGAGCTAAAGGTCAAAATTTTAGGAAAAGGAAGAGTATTAACTCACTTAGGAATAGAATTGGAGAAATTAGTTTAGGATTAGCTATTTGATTTAGAGTTTAGATTTGATATTTGACTTGAATTTAGGATTGGATAATGGATGCGAACTTGAGTTTGAAAGTCTTATCTCTATTTGAATCTAGGTTATTATTTAAATTTGAATTGAGTGTTTGCGTGTAAATAGTTTGTCAGATTCAGATTTTATTGGAAGAGAATGATATCTTGTGATGAAAATCCAAACGTTGAAAGTCTGTGAGTTGCATATTCTGAGAGGCCAAAAGCATGATTCCTTCTCTTCTTTTGTTAGGACGTGACTCTCTAGTTTCTCTTTTTTATAATTTTAACCT